GAAGAGGCGGCGGCGCAAGAGGCGGCTAGGGTTAGGTCTTCCAGCTCCCTTCGGGAAGCCGAGCAAATAATGATTGCTTCTTGCTTGATTAGATTGATACATCTCCTCTCCTTATATAGAGAGGTTTACTTGACTCCTAAGCAAACGATCCTAATAACGATAAGATAATTGGGCTAAGCCCCTAATAATGATAAGATAACTTGGGCCACAACCCACTCGGCTAAACCCCTAATATGCCGGTCATAACAAAAGGGCTAGTCAATCCACATATACACTTCAACAGCCATGATCAAGGACGAGGCTGCTCTATGGGCCAGAACTGGGGCTCCGGGCCTATGTGCCATCTTACCGCAAACCTGGGATGTCCATTAATTTTTCTGTCATTGCCCTGTAACCTGCCTCCTAGGAGGATTGTACCAAACTTCTCGAAAAAAAGGACTGGGTGGCCACAGCAGTAGACACTCACAAGTTGTTCCTCTAACTTGGTGGGGTTAGAGGAACAGGGACAAATATATGTGGATGGGAAAGATGGGAGTAGGTAATCCATTCGATTAATGCTCACTAATTATTGTATGAAAGATAGGAAACACTAGCAGACATACAAGAACACTTTTTTTATCATTGTTATGACAAAATTGAGCAGAAAAGATTAATCCTAGTATACCAAAAAAACATTAACACTGTATACGCATATTCTAATTCGGAGTTACATAACAGAGATACTGCTGCCAAATGGAAGGAAGAAATGCCTAGCTTCGGTTGGTGGGCAAGTGTTAGTTGTGACGCTCCTGGCGAACCACTGACATGTAGAGAGCATCACCGGAGGATGGAATCGGTTTGAGAATGAAATCGACAGAGAGAGGAACTCAACTGGGGAAAAACAGACAAGTTGCGGCGTCCAGTAAATATGAAACCCTAAACCTGAGGCTCTAATACCATGCTGGAGAAGCAACTTATCTCTATTGCATAGCACAAGGGGCAACTATATATGGTAAGGGACTTGGAGCACAAGTAAGGATATCTAGACTAATACGAATACGTAAAGAGACCTAGACCAACAGTAATAGAACTAATACTCCTAAACAGGTTCAAGTTCTCTTGACTTGAACTTGTACCTTTGTAGAGCACAGAGAAATTGCTGACAGACGAAAAAGAAAAGCATGTCTCAGGTTGCGCGGGGGAGCGTGCGTAGAATCCCATCACCTTGGTTCAAGTTCTCTTGGCACTTGGTCTGTAGAGTTTCAGAATTTTCCAAAAGGTGCAAAGACATCTCTTTTTCCGAGAAAGAATGTAACTGTGGATACGGGACATCTTCTAGAATGTTAGGTCATGTACTTCTTAGTTTATTTATTAATTAAACTTTTATTCATTAGGCGATGAGGATGTCTTGTATGCAATAGTAAAACAGAACTGTGGTTGGAAGTTCATAAAAAATTGAGCTCCAAATAGTCTGCACTCCCTCCTATCCATATTACTTGTCGCTGCTTTAGTACAACTTTATACTACAGTTGTACTAAAGCAGTGACAAGAAATATGAATCGGAGGGTGTATTAGAGTTACTTGATTGGCCTGCATATGTAGCCAGAGGACCAAGGGCACAAGTTGCAGATTTACTTTGCAAAATGAATTTTGGAAAATTCTCTTGTCCAAGGAGCCAACAAATATAACAGGAGTGTGCACCTTTAAAATCACATAGTCTGTGTTCCGTTGTAATCACAAAACTAAAGTATAAATTTGGATGACTATTGTGTGTTTAGTTTTATATTTGGTGTACTAAAAATATTAAACTGTAAAAATTTCAGATATTTGGCAAGATTACAAATTTGGATGATCAATATCCAGAGTTGGTTGAACAAGCAAAGCTGATCCTAAAGAAGTGCAGTGGACTTCCCCTTGCAATAGTCACCATAGGTGGTTTCTTGGCAAACCAACAAAACACACCTTTGGAATGGAGGAAGTTGAATGAGCATATTAGTGCTGAGTTGGAACTGAATCCAGACCTTGGGCCCATAATGACAGTCCTTAATAAAAGCTTTGATGGCCTACCATACTATCTTAAGCCTTGTTTCTTGTATATGTCGATCTTTCCAAAAGATCGCGAGGTCAGTCGGCGTCGTTTGGTGCGTCGGTGGATTGCAGAGGGTTATTCAAGGGAGGTGCGTGGCAGGTCTGCAGAGGAAATAGCAGAGGGCGACTTCATGGAACTCGTAAGCAGGAGCATGCTCCTACCATCTCAACAATCAATTCATGGTAGAAAAGGAATTGATGCATGCCAGGTCCATGATCTAATACGTGAAATCAGCATCAAGAAGTCAACTGAAGAAAATTTTGTTTTCACACTGGAGGAAGGTTATGGCTTAAGCAGACGGGCCACAGTTCGGCACCTTGCTATAAGCGAAAATTGGAAGGGAGATCAAAGTCAGTTTGAGAGCATAGTGGACTTGTCCCGTGTGAGATCAATAACAGTTTTTGGGAAGTGGAAGCCATTTTTTATTTCTGACAAGATGAGGTTGCTACGAGTGCTGGACCTAGAAGGCACACCAGGCCTAGCTGATCACCACCTTCAGCACATTGGGAAGCTTCTTCACCTAAAATATTTTTCCATAAGAGGATGTGATGATATTCATCACCTGCCACACTCCTTGGGTAACCTGAGGCAACTCCAGACACTAGATGTCAGGGATACGAGAATACTAAAGCTGCCAAAGACCATCATCAAACTTCGGATGTTAACCTATCTCCGCCTTGGTAGGAAATCGACTGACAAAAAGGTGTCATATGAGAAACTTGAAGAGAAGCTCTCAAATTCAATGGGCAACAACAGGCTATGTCTATTGACTTCAGGGTCAGTGATGCTTTGTGCAGCTTGTTGTGCACCCCGTCATTTTGGTTATTCTGAAGACATGAACCGCCATGACATATGTACTGCTGCTTGCTGTGCTAGACTCCCTGCTGTTGCCAAGCGTCTGGACAGGTATGGAGTTCTAGCTCCTAGAGGGATGAGGAAACTGATCGGCTTGCACACACTGGGGGTTGTAAATGTTGCACGGGGGGCAGTCATTCAGGACATAAAAAAACTGACCTGGTTGCGCAAGTTAGCAGTAACTGGCGTCAACGGGAGAAATGGTGAAAAATTCTGTTCAGCAATCAATAATCTCAACCGTCTTGAGTCATTGTCAATACGGTCAGAGGGAGAGCCTGGATTATGTGAATGTTTGCACTGGATGACCTCGCCCCTGGAAAACCTCCAGAGCCTCAAGCTGTACGGTAATCTGATCAAACTGCCAAGATGGGTCCAGAGGCTCCAGAATCTTGTGAAGCTGAATTTACGGAGCACCAGGCTATCGGGGCATGATGGTGATGTGGAAGTTCTTGGGAGGATGCCAAATCTGGCCATCCTGCATTTGTTGGAGAAGTCGTTTCAGGGTGAAGAGCTTCGTTTCCAGATTGGGATTTTCAGAAGCCTCACAGTTCTTGTGTTTGGAAACTTTGGGGACATCAAATTGGTGAAGTTTGACCAAGGAGCAATGCCTAAGCTTGAGCAACTGCAGGTCAGGAATGACTGGAGGGTAAGTGCTGAAAATGGTTGTTCTGCGAATGAAGTTGCATTTTCAGGGCTAGACTTTCTCCCAAGCATCAAGGAAGCCCGGTTATGGTTAAACATTATCCCGGATGAACAACTCAAGGAAATACCAGATGAAGTATTCCTCAAGGCCAGCAACTTTGAGGAACACTTTCGGACCCAGCTTGCCAACAATCCAAGGAACCCCATTCTGAAGGTGGGTGAGCTCGAGAACCAGGACTAATATTGTATCTCTATACAGCTTGATTATTGTTGCCAATCCAAAAGGGCACATCATGGCTCCTGCCCAAGAATGTATTTTTGACTAATGTTGTATCCCTATACAGCTTGAACATGCTACTGGAGAATATGTTTTTTACTCTAAAGCATTCCTCTTGTGTTTTCTATAAATACAGGTTAAATCCTCAATGTTTACAACATTGCTATGTTCTGTTTACGAATATACCACTAATTGGTAACCCTTCATCCTGCTTCTCGGGTGAAATTGTGATGCATTCAATTTGATTGTACCAGAAAGACTCAAGTGTGCAACAGATTGTGCATATAAGTGAAATGTGCTAGTACTACTTATGGAAAATATCATGGTGAGATTGGACCCTTTCGTCATATCACCTGTGCTCTGGTTTCATTTTGTCGTGATTGAGCAGTAAGTGTAATAATAATAGAATTGGTGACATCTGTGATAAACGTGGATTGCGTGAAAATTAATGGATTATTATGTTTCTTTGCATGAACTGCTATGGCCTGCAAGGTGTTTGTTGCTGTCAGAGTTAAAGGGCGTTTCCGATGCATTTAAGCTTCTTGTTCTGAACCCATAAGGCTCATGGACTTCAGGATTCGGGAGAATAAGAGAGGTGTTCCAGCTAAGCTCTCAGGGAGCTCCTCCCATGTAAGCATGGAGAGGTTGTTGTCTAAGCAATAGCGTTAAGAGCTTGGAATGTCAACAATAGACAGACATCAAAGTTACTGAGAACTGATACCATGAACACTCGTAAACAGCCGAAACGAATTTACTAATAATCTGGCAAAACAAAATAAAAAATGCTTAAAGCACACATACAAACTAGATAGTGTGGTGAAGCCACCGCCACCTTCTTTTCCGAAAGTTCTGGACCTGCACCATTGCATCCCGTTCCTGAAAGGAATAGCTTGCATATTTAGTTTTTCTTTTCTCACTATGTTCTAATACAATGAAAGCAGAAATAGCATATCTAGCTAGGCAGCATCTTTATGCATATAGAAAAAAAAGCTTCAAGACATCGTCCGATGCACGGTAAGGTTTATGCAGCATCTTAGAGGCAGACACAATCTACTTTTGAGTCTCAGACGTTTCATGTGTAGCACACTGTCCATCAACATGTGAAAACGGGCTATAGATGTTAACCTGAGGAAGACACACATTTCTGGGTTACAAAAGCCGGGCCAGATCACTAATCGGTTTACTGATAAATGCAACTCTGCACATTCCTAAATGCAATCACCACTAAAATTTTGCTGCAGAACCAATGACGTGCCGTCATTCAAGTGCACGTCCCTAAATGCCGAAACGAAATTGAAAAAAATACAACATGTGCTGTGCTGCAGGGGATATCTTCGTTTTTCCCCAGCTTTCAGTTGAGTAGTTTCTCTGGGTGATACCTCTGCTATCCCCATCAATGCTAATAGAAGAGATCATCACAAGTTTATACACTAAAAATACAGAGAAATCCTCAATGTCGCCATACCATGGGATCCACCATCACAGCTAGACAGTTTAATTCTGTTTCCGCAAAAAAAAAAGGGGTCTAATTCTAGTTCAGATTGCCGAATTAAATCAGAAAATTGTGAACACCACATACCGAGGGCCGCTGCTAAGGGAAGCGAGCTCACCAGTCACCAGCGACCCTCTCCCTCCGACGACCCTACACCGGCGCGGCGAGGATTTCCCCGTAGTACATCCCTCTGGGCGCAACCCGTCGTCCCTTTCTCCTCCTTCGCCGCGGATGCCGCTGCCCGTCGCCGGGAGAAGCAGGATGTGTTAATTTAATGAAGGATCTGCTTTTAATGGGTCAGCTGAACTAGTGCGAACAAGCCAGCCTCGTTCCTGCCGGTGAGGTTTGTTTCCCCTTCGTCGCCATGACATGCGGGAAGGGAGAAGAGAGGCCACACGAAGAGAATTTTATTGTTTCCCCAAAAAAAGGAGAAAGTTTTGAGAGAAAACAAAATTACTTCACTGATTAAATGGACAGTACATTCACACATTCTTTTTTTTCCGAGAGTACACAAAAATTATACCATATAGTCTATACTACTATTAAACAATCAAACAAAAACTTCTTTAAGCACACCCACAAAGCATACACAGATCCAATACGATCGCACGATTAGGTCCACTAAAATCAATCTAACGATTAGCCTTAACCTAAACCATTTTCTGTGTGCACTTAGCAATTTACATTGACTGACCGTACTCCATCGTAGAGGAAAATATGAAACTTCATGCGTGGGCAATTAGGAAACTAATCATCACGGGTGCATCATATTCTAGGAAACTAAATCAGAGTGCACCCATCCTATTAGGAAACTAATCTCAGACAAATCCATCCTATTAAAAAGCTTATCTCGGACGCATCCATCCTATTAGTCTATACTACTATTAAACAATCAAACAAGAACTTCTTTAAGCACACCCCACAAAGCGTACATAGATCCAATACGACCGCACGATTAGGCCCACTAAAATCAATCTAACGATTAGCCTTAACCTAAACCATTTTCTGTGTGCACTTAGCAATTTACATTGACTGACCGTACTCCACCGTGGAGGAAAATATGAAACTCCATGCCAGGGCAATTAGGAAACTAATAATCACGGGTGCATCATATTCTAGGAAACTAAATCAGAGTGCATCCATCCTATTAGGAAACTAATCTCAGACAAATCCATCCTATTAAAAAACTTATCTCGGACGCATCCATCCTATTAGGAAGCTAATCGCGAGCCGCCTGCCACCACCATGCACGCTAGCCACGATGGGGGAAGCGCGAGGAGCTTCATCTTCCTCCAAGAACACACGTGCTGTCGCCGCCATCGTCTTCTACCTGGAGGCCAGGCGCTCTTCTGCCGCTACTGCGACGACTCCATCCACGTCCAGGGCATGCTCTCCGTCAACCATCGGCATCCCCGTTGACTTCACCTCCGTTCGCAACACCCATGCTGACAACAACCCACCACTGACGTCCTCCAAGTCCAAGCCGCCAACTGTCGTCGTCCCTAGGGCGGCACCAGTCTCGGCCGTGGCACAGGAGGTGTCGTCATTGCCGTTCCTGTCGTCGTCCTACTGGGCCGTCGAGGACCTCCTGCAGTTCTTCCTACGTGCACAGTCGAGGGCACCGAAGGTCTATCACAAATCAATCAGGTGAACCTTTAATTTGATTTGGGGGTATTCTGCAATTTGAACGACTAATACTGCACTTTTGGCACTTGGAGGCAGGTCAGAAATTTTTGATCTGCAATTTCATCTATCAACCAATCTTCCTCTGATGCATTCTAGAAATAAAAAATTGGGACATGAAGAAATTGCTATTCCAGAGTTTAATTAATCATTTGATAATTCTTTTGGGAAATACATGTGATCTGGATCATGAAAATCATTCTCATATATACTCCCTCCTTTCCAAAATACAAGTTTTTTTTAGAGATTTCAATGCGAACTACATACGGAGTAAAATGAGTGAGTCTACATTCTAAAATATGTATATATATATATATATATATTCGTATATAGTCCGTATTAGAATCTCTAAAAAAATTATATTTTGGAACGAAGGGAGTAGATATAGGAAGAATGAAACTGATTGTAAAAGTGTGTTTGTTTAGACCTATATACTTACAATGCGATTTCTATTTAGACCAAGATTAGAATTTGGCTACATGCATAAGTTTGGCTGGTTGAGAAATTTGAATTCATTATCTCTCATAAAGTGTCTGTTCAGTGGGTGCACGTGCATTACATATTAAATAAGAATCATGAGGCTTCAAGCAATCTAGAATTATAGATTTGAGATTATCTTAGGTTGTCGATTGCTGTACTGAAAATGTGTAATTAGATATGGCACGTACATAAGAATGCAGCAATCTTGTCTTACAAAGTAGGATCAAGAGGGATACTGAAGAAGTCAAGATGCAAAGTCTCTATTTCCCATGATTACTTCTCATGTTCATGTCGGCTTTCTTGGGCTTTACTTCGTACGACCATATGCATTATACTGGACCGTATCAAGAGGAAACGCCATCCCCTTGACTAGAATTTCTTTATTTGTGTGACGTTGCTTTACCTGGAATTAAGGTGGGTTGCGCCTGCCTAGGCACTAGCTCTAGGGATAGGTTGGAAATCAGAATATATGATTCATTCTTAGAGAAACCTTTACACGCGTCTCTTTAACATAATTGCATAGCAATCCAGTAAATTATGTAAGATTCAGTATGAGGCAAGATATTGTAGATGTACTACTATTTCAGTTACATGATTCTATATATCTAAAACGGGTTACATGACTCTGTAACTATTGTTAGAGAATATATCTCGCTGTTCTGTAAAGGTGTGCAATCTCTATTCCGTTCCAATAAAGAGAATTTTACCATACAGAAGGATCCAATGAAGAAACTAATCCGGCTGAGTTCCAATAAATAGATCCTTTGAAGGATCTGTCCTAATACAGCCGCCGTATATTGGTACAGAAAAATCATATAAACTGTATTCAGTCGGATTTATTTTGTTTCATGACAGAGAAACCATATACCTTTCGCTATTTTGGCACATATGTTTATTCTTATATACTTGTGCAGTTTCAAATGATCCAACATATATGCAGTCATCAAACTTGAAGACATATTGTTTAAGGCCTTATTTGCACCGCTTCTCTTTCTTTGTCTGCGTGCCTCTTTCCTTCAATAATAATAATGAATAACTTTTTCCGGATCAGGTATTACACTGTTACAAATGTATGCTGAAGCTACTCCTTACGACAAGAAAAAAGAGGATGAATGCTTTCTATCTTCACCAGTTTTGTAGAATGTTCCAAATTGTTGGCTCTTTCTTATTTGAGGATTCAACATGTTCTTTGTAATTTAGAAGCTGGCCTGAATGCTTGATAAGGTTAAGCTTGACAAATACTCTGGAATACTGTTCCTTCCATCTTTATTTTTCTTCCTAACTCATTTCAGTTTATGTACGTACATAG